TTTATTAAAAATGAATAAATTAAAAAAGACAAAAGAAGATCACTGAGGCTGAACGCATTTTTTTGTCTTGCTTTAATTTATTCCTTTTTACTAAATTCAAATATTCTATTTTCTATGACAACGTTTGTGCAAGTAGGTGTATATATAAATTATTGTTGTAAACTCGGTTAAGAATTTCCGTTCTGTGTTCCAGTTCGTTCTATTATAAAATGATTGTTTTAAACACGCCTTTCCAGTTAACAACACAATTTATGTAAACCTCTATTGAAAAGAAGACATTTGTACATGAGTTTTAACAAGTTATTTATGTCTGAGAAGTAAGCTGAGCTCATGTTTAATTATTAAGACTTCAGTGCCACAAGCKTACAACTTTTATTCAAACACTAAGTAACACATTTTACAAGAACTCAAACATTGTCTTTTAGCTTCAAGGTCAAATAAAAATTAGAGCTTGAAATAACGAATCAGAAACAATTGCACTTTTTACACTCCTTACCTTAACGTCGCTAATTAAGCTAAGCGTATCTACCATYAASTTTTAGTTTTCRAGCGAATAACGTCCCAAAATTGCATTTTGTTCGAGMCGGAAAACCAATAAAGTGTTCCTGTTGTAAGTTACCGATGAGCAGTACGCGAGCACGAGAAATCCGCGGGAAAATCAACTTCGTCACCAGGCCATCTCGGTCGGCTGATATTACCCTACGCAAATGAAGCTACAGGCTATTAGATAAAGCGAATATTCGGACTGAAAATAATTAGTTGCAAGGTGAAGAAGTATTCTACTTTTTACAGCAAAGTTCGTGGAGTTTTGTGTCGCAGCAACATTAAAACTCACACGACAATCAGCTGACTTTAGTGACCAATCAGAAATCACGATTCACTCCACTTTTTCATGTCCGCTAAAACAGTCCTCCTAACCAGTGTTTGCTTTGTCTAAGCGAAAATAGAAGTATTCTTGCCATTTACTAAAAAGAAAATGTAAAAACGGCTTAGGAGATATTTTAGTGGTTTTGAAAAGTGCGAAGACTACTACCATCATGCTTTGCTGCACAAAATGGCGTCGCTGCACGTTGCCCGSCTATTGCAACAAATYATTTTGATTCGATAAATTCGCATGGTTCGACGGTAGTAATATTCGCAGCATCGCTTTTCCAAATTGATTTGTAGCAATGTTGCGAGACAAGTTGAGTCATTTGCTGTTCGCATTTGTTGATGATGGTGTTCTAATGATTTGCGCACCCCTCCCCTAGTGGTGAAGATTTGTACCACGGCTACGGTGTGAGTTTGTGTATGAGAGTTGCATGAAAACGAAGTTGTACAGTGTGCGTTGTATGTTAAAGATTAAAGAACAACAATCAGAAAACGAAGKCGTTRCAGTGTAYGTAYAGTTAACTGCCATAAATATCTGGGTTTAAGTACATGGACGTGTAAACAATTGGAAGACGCTTTAGGCACTCCGTGCATACAACCGAAGACGTGTTTCATCACGCGACGTTTTCTTTTTCTTCACGCGTTGCGTGGCTATTATTTTGTAGGTCTGATGCTTACGTACGCATGGACGGTATTAATGATCATTTTGAACTCCTCGCGGCGCTTACTTAGAACACGTTGTGACTGCCAAAACCAGCGTGCAAAGTCGACAAGGTGAAAAAACATTGGAAAAACCTTTAATCTACACTTTTTCAGAGCGGTGGTGTATAAACTACATTGTACTTGCAAAATCTACCAAGAAATTATTTCATTCCTGCACACGCAATATTTTATAAGCCAAGCAAGTCCTTTAATTTCATTTTGATGTTCAGAAACTATCTTAAGTAATCTTGGCTTGCAAGTTACGTCAACTCGCCAACAATTAATTTTTCCGAATTTATTTCCAAAGGTCTTAGGAATAAACTCCTTCCTAGCACTATAACTTTCCTTCATTTCTTTGTTTAAAAATGTACAGTATGCGAGTGTGAATAACAATTACCCAACTTAGTGAAGTTTTAGTCAAATTCATAGAGATAGACAGCACGGCAGTTAGAATTGATAGAAAAGTTTGTTAACCCCAACCCTTGCAGGTTAAGGCACTGAGTATCGACTGACACTTCCATCCCAACTCTCCCTTCTTCTCACCAACTTTCCCTCCCCATTTCCCAATCCCATTCCCTTCGCCATCTCCCTCTCCACCTTTCCCTTTCCCAAATTCCCCATCCCCTTTACCATTCCCAACCTCTCTTCAATTTCCCTCTCATCCCCTCCCTCTTTCCCCATCTTCCGGAGAACTTCCTCATATTACAATTCCCCCTTTCCCACTGAAAAGCCCCTCCTTAACCCCCCTCCCACTCCACAATCCTCCATCCCAACAACCTCTACCCCTTACTCTCCCTCTCCCTCTTCCTACCCTCTACCAACCGAAGTACCTAGTGCGGTACAGTAACTATTGCGATAGTGTACCGTGTGCGGTACAGTATCATAGTCTACCTAGTGCGATAGTGTACCGTGTGCAGTACAGTATCATAGTCTAACCAGTGCTATAGTGTACCTAGTGCGGTACAGTATCATAGTCTAACCAGTGTTATAGTGTACCTAGTGCGGTACAGTATCATAGTCTAGCTAGTGCGACAGTGTACCATGTGCGGTACAGTATCGTAGTCTACAGTATTGCGATAGTGTACCGTGTGCGGTACAGTATCAGAGTCTACCTAGTGCGATAGTGTACCGTGTGCGGTACAGTATCAGAGTCTACCTAGTGCTTTAGTGTATCGAGTTTTGATGTATATTATTTATCAATGATAGCTCGCCTACATTTTTGATATGCATTCACTCTGATCCCCTCGACGAACGTTTTCATGTGACGTAAATAAATAAATAAATAAATAAATAAATAAATCGACTTTATTTTACGAGGGTAACACGTGACAGTAAAGAACTGATGAACTTGTGGCCCTCACACTCACACTCACTACCTCTACATTAATTATTTTAGCACACAACACTCCTCACATGTTGATTTTTACTGAGGGAGGAAAACCGGAGGACCCGGAGAAAAACCCTCGTGGCAAGGGAGAGAACAACACATCAAACAAACTCAAACTCACATATGGTCCGTGCCCAGGAATCGAACCCGGACCACAGAGGTGAGAGGCCAGTAGCTTAACCACTAGACCACCCTTGTCACCCACCTGACGCATTGCCATCCGCTGGATGGCAAAATTGCGGGCTCTCTGTACATAATTTTAGTAACCAAGCCTTTGTTGTCTGGATGTTTTATAAATACAGCTGAATGTGTGGCTAGCATGGTCCAGTTCTTAAAATTTGCCGTATTTTTAACGGTCATCTTCTCCATACACGCTAAGCCGGTAACTAAAAGTAGGACCATTCTGAAAGAATTGAAAAATATTATCAAAAACAAGGACTTGTTACCGAAAGACCATGTTGAAGGTTCCAAACTTGAGCGTGATGGCGATACCAATAAAGATTTTCATCACGAAGCATTTTTAGGGAAAATGATCAAAGATGGTAAACTGGTTTTTAAAAATATGGATGGCTACAAAAAATTTATCGAGATTTTTCATCAAGTCGACTACAGCAARGACCACCTTGTTGACAAAGACGAACTTGCTACCTGGATCCATGAACGAATTCTTGAGCATGTAGAAAGTGCTCGCGAGAAAAACCAAGGTTTATTCAAATCCATGGACAAAGATGGTGATAAATTAGTATCGTGGAAGGAATTTAAGCAAAAGCTTCTTCAAGGGGAAGGGAATGACWATGCGATTCAAGGTGTGTTGGACATTTCATGACGTGATCATTCTAAGTTTTCATCAAATTTCTATTGTTATTATTGTTAATAATATTGATACTCCTAACCCTATTACATATATATTATATATATAATCCTCCTGATTTGCACTGTTATTATGTGCTTTTCTCATATCCACTCCTTAACAACACATGCAATTTCATCACATTGAAGACCTGCTTTATTAGTAAATATTTTGCATGGGCTCACTTTTTGTTGATTATAAATACAGCTGTTTAGTATCAGCTGATCTTCACAGGCATCGTCAAATAAATACTCACTTTTTACATGTAATATTCTGGTTGATATTCTGGTACTCTTTCATAACAACAACAAAAACAACAATTTATTCATATCAATAATTGTTTATAGAAATCTACAGTGTGCAAGAGATAAGTTTACTACTGTAATAACTAGAGGGTTAATGAGGTCTTTGGGGCAGTATCATGTTAAGTTGAAGTGTGAAAATTGCCTTATCACACAATTATTATGTGTGAAGTGTGATCTAGATATATATGATGTAGAACAAAAGGCTAAGTGATAGGCTATTTACATACATTATGTGATAGTTATGCTGGAAACAATAGGTGTGAAGGTAAAAAATTACAAACAGGGTCCATGCAGGTCCTTAAATCCGTGAAAAGTGCTTGAATTGAAAACTCGTTTTCAAGGGCACTTGAAACTCCTTGAAAATTTGAAAATTTCAAAAAAGCTTCCTTGAAAACTCCTTGAAAAAGATGGATCTCTATAACGAAGCGCTAGCGATCTCTGAATTATTCTGTTCAGCTGGAGTTTTGAGGTAAGAATGTACAATTAGCATGMTTTTGATGCTCCTTGAAAATACAATTTTGGTCATGGAAAAAAGTCCTTGAAAAGTCCTTAAATTTCGTTTTTGATACTCTGCACGGACCCTGTACAAAGGAGAGTACAATAATTATTTAAAATCACGTAGGTGTGAAGACATATAGAAGTGTCAAGTGTTCTTCAAGAAGAATTTGTTTTTCGTGTCGGCATTTAGAGATGAGTTCTGATCTTTTCCTTTAATTAGTAGGTTGGCGTTGCTGTGTTTAATAATCATTAGTTTTTCTGTAAGGCAGAGGTTGCATCGTTTGGATATGTTGTTGTAGGGTCTTGCACGGCTGATAATTGTCCATTTGATGTTGAAGTCTTTTTGTCGAGTAGTTGCCAGATGTACTTATAGAAAGTTTGGTGTTGTTGATGTGTTTTCTGTGTTTAAAATGTAGATTTGTGCTGCGAGAATCTTTGTTTGAATGTTCCTTCTGTCAGTCCGATGCAGTTCTTGGTTGTGTTGCTGGTTGTGACTTGTGCATTGTAGATTACACTGGAAGTTAGGCTTTTGTTGTCTAGCAGGCGTTGGTCTTTTTTTACGGCAGTTGCATTGTTCTCCTGTGGTTGCATTGGCGTTGTTGTCGGCATTTGTTATTTTATTTATTTTTTGGTGTAAAATTGTTATTTTAATGTCAAGTGTTCTTGTGTTTTGCCTCTTTATGATATTATATATTATGCATGTAATTAGCTCTACACTATATGCACTCTTTAATGGAATCAGCAACTTCCTCATATGAATTAAGATACATACATAATGTACAAAGTTTACCACACATATGCAATACACAAATGCTAGAGAAAATATTAGATGTTATCAATAAGTATTATAGAAAGTTGTCTTTTTTTCTGTACATACTCTGGTAGTCTTAAGTAATGTGTCCTTAAAATGTCATGAAGACTAATTCCATCAGTGTCATTGGTCCTAGTTTGTTCTCAGTTTTTATTTTTTGTTACTTGTGAGGTCATTACACCTAAGCATAACCASAAAACTAGAGATCCAAAACAATATGTAAAACCATCACACCAGAAGRGAAGATTTTACTCCAGTACCTCAAAATGCAGTACTACAAGATTTAACAAACTAACTGTGTTTAAGGAATGAGTTTGCTTGAATTGTGTCCTCACACATCAACTTCTTTTGAATCAAGGGGCAGTRACAACAGTGTTCAGGTGAAGTCTTCATTACTGTGTGCAATGTTGCAAGGGTGTGAAGGTCATGTGAAGCATAATCATGTTCATCTTGGTATATCGCTTTTCTTTGATTTTCAGAAGATGGTGGCTTACCTGATGAATATGCCAAGTGGAAGAAAGCTGATCTCAATTTTGATAAAAAGTTAGATGTTACTGAGTTCCTGTATTTTCAACACCCTGAATACAACCCAGTTACTCTCAAGAATATGGCAGAAGAGATGATGGCAAATTTTGATAAAAACAATGATAAGGTGAGACAGTACAAACACTATATGGGATGGAGCAGTGAGTTTCTCATAGATTTTCTTTTTATCTATAGGCCATGTCCATGGATGAGTTTGTTCGTCTCCCTCCTGGTGCAGTTGACCCAGACCAGCAGGAAGCAGAGAAGAAATATAATGAAGAGTRAGTACATGTAACCATTACAAAATAAAAATTATGACCTGTTTAATAACATGCATTTCCCCTGATTATGCCTCTGATCTGTTTGAATTATTGAACTGTGCATAAATCATCAATACATTTTACCATAATCAAAACAAAGAGAAACATTCAAATTAAGGCCTGGTACTACATAGAGTCCACTAGAGTTACATTGTACYAAAAATTTAACTTAACCTCTTCATGAAGAACAATGGTCATTTTGAAAGATGAGTCAACTTCAGTTGCAGTGCAATAATATGCAATTTCACAGATTAAAAGCCTTCACTGTAACTATCAACTTTTATACTCACTACATGTATCTAACTATTTATCAGAAGAAAAGAAGATTTCAAGAAAATGGACAAAAATGGTGATGGTATTGTGAGCATCCAAGAGTTGACATCCTATCTTGATCCTCGTCACAAGCAACATGCAAACAATGAAGCAGCATACCTTATGAGTGCTGCAGATATAAACAAAAGTGGGGATTTAAGTGAGCGGGAAATGTTGTTACAATATCAGCTGTTTACAGGAAGCAGTCTCAATAACTATGCTGCTGTACTGCATGATGAGTTTTGAAGATATTTATAACACTATTGTAATGAATAGAGTGATCACACTTAAACCCTGCAACTGTACAAAGTAAATAGTGCTATTTAAATGTATTAGTATATTGTGCATGTGGTACGCAAATTAAATTGAATTGATTCAAATGAAGCATTCAACACCATCTTGCTTCAGGTCCACTTTTAGTAAAAAATAGTACTTAGATTTTGTACAGTTGCATGGTTTAAGTGCGACCACTCTACCATCTTGCTTCAGGTCCACTTTTAGTAAAAAATAGTACTTATATTTTGTACAGTTGCATGGTTTAAGTGTGATCACTCTAAACAAAAGGAAAATCCAAATGTATGAGGCATAGCTTCAAACATCTAGTCAGTCATAAAGAATGCATCCCTTTTTATTCCTATAAAAGACATTAGAAATAAGGCAAATAGTGGAATCACCATTAAACTAAACCGTGTAACTGTACATACTAAATAGTACCATTTAGTTGTATTTCGTAAATCATGCACGCCTCAGTTATGGTACACAAATTGAATTGATTCAAATGAAATACTGCCTTGTTTCAGGTCCACTTTTAGTACAAATTAGTACTACTTAGAACAGTTGCATGGTTTTAGTGCGACCACTCTAGTTGACTTGATATAAATCACTATTCACAGATAT